AAATATATTCAAGACATTGTGTGTCAAAGCTGTGAAACCAATAAACATTCAACCAATAATTGTCCAACCTTGCCTTCTTTTAAGGAATGTCTCCATGAACAAGCCCATGCTTTAAATAGTTTCCAAAGGCCTAACCATAACCCATATTTGCAAACATACAACCCTGGTTGGAGAAATCACTCAAATTTTAGTTTGAAGAGTGATAACAATAGTGCACAAACTTCACAATTATTGTTTCAAGCATACTATAATTTCCAAAATTCTCATCGATATGCTCCACCTCCTAGAAGAAATCTTGAGGAAACATTGTATGCATTCATTGACAAGTAAGAGACAATCAATACTCAACTTGCTTAAAACATGATAGATTTTAAAGATACTCCTACAAAACTAACATCTTCTCTCAGTTTCCAAGAGAAAGTTTTCATCTCAACTATAACAAAATCTCAAGGGGCAATACAATGCAAATACAAGTAGTTCTGGAAGTCAACATATGGATCAAGTGAAATCAGTCACTACTCTTCACAGTGATAAGGTTATCAAAAAACACACTCTTGAACCTTGTGAGAAAAATGATGAGTCACTCTCTAAGGGTAAGGAAGGGGTTGAATGTGAATATTGCAAAGAAAAGACTAATTCTCCGCTAGCACTTCCATTTCCTTATGCCATGACCAAATAAAAAAAAGTCAATCACAACTTTGAAATCTTTGAAACTTTCAAACAGGTAAGGATCAATATACCTTTACTGGATGCTATTAAACAGGTTCCTTCTTATGCTAATTTTTTGAAAAATCTCTGCAATGTGAAGAAAAAACTAAACGTGAAAAGAAAAACCTTTTTAGCCGAATAGGTAAGTGCCATTCTTCAGAATAATAATTCTTTGAAATATAAAGACCCTAATTGCTCTACAATTTCTTTCTTTATTGGAGAACATAATTGAAAGAGCCTTACTTGATTTTAGAGCTAGTGTGAATTTATTTTCATATTCACTTTTTCAAAGTCTCAATCTAGGCGAGTTGAAACCAACTTTTGTAACTCTCTTACTTGCTGATAGATCTCTAAAAGTGCCTTGAGGAATAGTTGAAGATGTGTTAGTGCAAGTCGATAAATTCATTTATCTTGTAGATTTTATTGTCTTGGACACACAACCTGTTGAAGCATGTAATTCATTTCTTGTTATTTTAGGACGTCCATTTCTTACAACTTCTAATGCATTGATTAATTATAGGAATGGACTGATAAAGCTATCATTTGGAAACATGACATAAGAGATGAATATTTTTAACATTTACAAGTAACTTGGAGATGATAATTATTTACAGAAAGTAGATCATATTGAAGAATTAATTTATGATTAACTTGGATCTATTTTGAGTAAAATTGAATTGGATGAATCTGAAGATTTGCAAATGATTTATTCTAAGGAAGAAATCATGGATGAAAAAGGCACAAAAAATATTGATGCAGATCATTTGTCAAGAGTAACAACAGATTCAACATCCAACATCACGCTAATCGATAATTACTTTCCTGACGAATCCTTACTTTCTCTTAGTCCAATGCCTTGATATGATAAAAATAACAATTTTCTTGCTTTAGGAGATTTGCCAGCTCATTGGAGTACCCAAGATAAAAGAAAGTTTTTAAGCGACATGCAAAATTTTTATTGGGATAACCCTTACTGATTTAAATATTGTCCTAATCAAATATTTAAAAGATTCATTCTCGATAATGAGGTAAGTAGTGTCATTAAACTTTGTCATTCTAAAGCATGTGAAAGTTTTTTCTCATAAAAAAAGATAGCTGCAAAAATCTTTCAAAATTGATTTTATTTGCTCACCATGTTCAAGGACTCACATGCATTCTGCAAAGCTTGTGAAAATTATCAAAAGTCAGGATTTATTTCAAAGTATAAGGAATCTTTAGAAATCTTTTATTGACTTTTGAGATATATCCTAGTGGAGATGTGCATTGTGCATCTCATGATTAATGACCCCATTTCCATAAAGAACATGATCGACTTAGTCTTGAGAATCTGACTAAAAAAAACTCTGTTTGCCGAAATGTATCGAACCCTTGGGTAGTAAAAAAACAGAATACTGTATTTCCAAGATTGTATTTCATATTCGAACATTCATAAATTGCTCTATCGTAATTCTTAACGGATAACCCCAATTTAGGTTCAATAGTACAACCTAATAGGGGGCGACCATACTTGTTTAATTTATCTCTTTCAACTTGGATACCATGAGGTGAGCCTTGAAAAGTTTTAGAATAAGCAGGAGGAATTCGCAAATCCTCCAGACTTAGAGCACGTAGGGGTTTGAACCCAAATACATTACCCACAATGGAAATAAACATGTTAGTAATAGAACCTTCTTCAAAAAAGTCTAAGGGGTAAGCTATATAAGCAATATATTGATTTTCTTCTCCAGCAACGGGCTCGATGTCGTTGCTAGAAGCGTTTGATTCAATGGTAAATGGTTCATTGAAATTTGGCATAGCAAGTGTTAGTGTAGTAGTCATGGCTATTTTGAGCTCTTTAAAAGCACTTTCAGCTGCATTTGGCCAACCAAACTTGCCTTTTTTGAGAAGATTGGTGAGAGGATAGGCAATAAGGCTGTAGTTGCGAACAAATTTCCAATAATAACCTGTAAGTCCTAAAAAACCACGTAACTCGAAAACATTAGTAGGCTGAGGCTAATTCAGCATAGCTGTAATTTTTTTTTATCCACCTTGACCCTTTGGGGAGTCACAATATGCTCCAAATACTCCAATTCTTGCAAACCGAAGGCACATTTGCTGAATTTGACAAAAAACTAATGTTGTCGTAATATGTCAAAAGCCTTTTTAACATGTTCAAGATGTATGATCCAATTAGGGCTATAAATTAAAATGTCATCATAAAAAACTAGTATAAATTTGCAAAGGTAAGGGTGAAAGATGGAATTCATAATGGCTTGAAAAGTAGATGGAGCATTATAAAGACTAAATGGCATAACCAAGTATTCATAATGACCATTATGAGTAATATCTGTTGGATGTTCTCGTACCTAATAGTATCCTGTTCGTAAATTAAGTTTGGTGAAATAAGTAGCTCCATGAAGCTCATCGAGCATATCATCAATTGTAGGGATAAGAAATCTATCCTTGATGGTGATAGCATTAAGTGCTCTATAGTCAGTGCAAAACCGCCACGAACCATCTTTTTTTTGTTTAACCAACAAAACAGGAGATGAAAAAAGACTAGTATTAGATTTTATTAGCCCTAATTTTAACATGTCATGAACTTGTTTTTCAATTTCAGCTTTTTGAAAATAGGTATACCTATAAGGTCGCATGTTGATGGGCGTTGTTCCTTCCTGTAAAATGATGTGATGATCCACTTCCCTTGTCGGAGGAAGTTGTGTTGGCTCCTGGAATAAATCCTTAAATTCTGTAAATAGGTGTTTTATTTCCAGATTGACACTCTAAGATGTTGGACTAGCTAAAGATTGAAGGCAAATGGCAAACATGGAACTCCTTTGTCTCAAGTCCTTAGCAATAGTTTTTATAGAAGTAGACTGAACTGATGTATCCATCCCCTGTAATTTATGAGTTTGGTTGCGCCACTGGAACTCCATGGTTAATTGCTTCCAGTTACATACCACCGTACCCAATTGTTCCAGCCAATAGACTCCTAAGACCAAATCCAACCCAACTAATGGTAAAGCATACAAAATGAGGACAAAAGGGATACCTTGGACTGCAATATGGATGTTTTCAAATCTTCCTTGACATTTTAATGGCACTCCATTCGTCACCCTGATATTGAAGGAGTCTGTTGGAACTACTAGTAATTGTAGCATATTCGCCTCCTTTTCAATGATAAAATTATGAGTAGACCCGCTATCAATGAGAACAACCATCTCATAGTGTTCAATTTTTGTCATCACCTATATGGTTTTATATGCTGTCTATCCAAAAAGTGCATGAAGTGATATTTTCGGTTGAAATTCCAACAAGCTTTCGATGTCATCTCCTTCTGGATATTCACAACAGCCTTCTAACAGTAGGAGCTATGGTCTCTTGCACCTGTGACCAGGTGTGAATTTCTCTTTACAGTTAAAATATAGACCCTATGCTCGTCTCTTCTGCATTTCATCCCAGGAAAGTCTTTTCATTGGTGAAGCTATTTTGAATCTTATTGGTGGATGGTAGTCTGCAAGAGTTTGATGGGAATGGTAGTCTGCAAGAGCTTGATGGATTGATCATGTACTTCTCCTTTGGTGGTTCAATTGCTCATCTCGCATTCTTGTAAGGCTGCTAGCTTCTTTTAATAACTTTAGTTTGAACATTCTTATGCCATCCGCTATTTCAGGTTTGAGGCCCCCCATGAATGTTCCTACTAAAGCTTTCTGTGGCCATTCATGCACCCGATTACCCATCCATTCAAATTCCTTCTGATACTCACGCAAGGACCCTTCCTGTTTCACCTTTGACAAGGCTTCATTAAAATCCTTACATTTAATAGGACCAAACCTCACCCATAGTTCTTGAAAAATATCCCATGTCACCTCTCTGTCTTCTTCTCTATAAGATTGTCTCAACCACTGTCGCCATTGATTAGCTTCACCTTGTAGGTGGAAAAAAGCGAGAGACACCTTTTGAACTTCAGTGGTGCCTTGAAATTCAAAGAATTGAGTCACCTTTGTGAACCATTCAGTAGGGTCATCTCCAAAAAATCGAGGGAACTCCAAGCTAGCTAACCTTGAAAAAAAAATGGTCGGCCTCATTCTGAAATTTCTCTTGGTTCCTTTCTTATAGAACAAGAAAGTCCGTTACGAGAGTTGGAAGTAGGCTTAGAAGGGTTGCTAGCTGATGTAGTTTGATTAGATAGAAGGACTTCAGAGAGCTTGCTAAGTACATCTTATATGTGGTGTAATTTGTTAGTAACACCAACCTCTATACGAGTAAAACTGTTTTGGAGTCCACCCAAACTAGGTTCTAAACTCTCAATCCTCTCCTTATTTGTTTCCATGCTTTGATACCAATGATAGGTCCCAATCAGGCTATGAATATTATAGTGCAGATAGTATTCTACTTAGGGTGAGAATGAACCGCAAGAGTGTTTATTTATAAAATTAAGCTTGCCTCTTTACTGCTTTTGAAAGAGTTTAAATACAAAGAAGAAAATAACAACCACTCCTAATTCTGAGATCATATCTCTAAGAATTAGGACATGATCATATTATTGAAATTCAAATACTAACTGCTAGACCTATTCTTAAGCAAGCATGCTTAGTGGACATAACTAACAACTTAGACAAAGTCATTGGCAAACATAACTTCTCTCTGCATGTTTCTTGCACCTGGAAGTTGTTTTCACATGATAGCTTCTCCCTGCATGTTTCCTGCATATAGAAGTGGCTTTTACGTGACAACTTCTTAGTCCAAATACTTTGGGTTTTTCATGGCACTCTAACAGATCTTCCTGGTTTATCATGGGTTGTATTATAAGGGGTTAGAGTGTGTTGATTTTAATATTGCACTTGATAATCTTTTTTTTTACAATAATTGCAAAAATTCTCATTGTAGTGCTTTACAACATGCCCAAACTCCTTCTAAATGTAGTGTTAAGTTTATAACCTGGATCTTATTTTGTCCTAAGCAGCATATACCACATTAATCATCCCAAACATCATGGTTTCTAAATTAAGACCAAGTTAAGTGACTAAACCTTATTCTTTACATAATAATCCTTTTAAGAGAATCTCTGAATATGAAATAGTATTTTGGTTCATTAAGCTATCATGTGCAATCTCAATTTCTATTTTTAGTTTCATCTAAATCTAGTATATTTGACTCACATAATGGACAACTTAAACTGCCACTAAGGCCTTGTTAGGAATGGTAGAATAAACTATCCTAGAATATTCACTCCAAAAATTAAGAAATCCATAATAGAATTGTTCAATATAAAAATTACCTTAGCAATAATTATCAATTTCAAACTATAGTTAAAAATTATAGGAAATATTATATTAAGAATATATGCTTCAAAGATAGGTTTACATCTCTATAGTAGTAGTGAATAATAAAAAATTATTCACCACATGTGATTTGATATAACTTAATAACATATAGATAACACGAGCATCATTGCTCTTCTAATAATCAATTTCCTTGAATTCAATAAGAGCTTTGGATAACCCATTTAAATGATTTCATTATTATTTTTCCTTCATAAACATCTTGAAATGAAACTCCCAAGTAGAGTGATTATTTTTATTAAAATAAACAATATAATTTTTTTTCTTTTATGATAAATCAGAAAAAAAAAACTAAACTAGTGAACATATATATATATATATATATATATATATATATATATATATATATATATAGATATAAACTTTGAACTACCAAGTATGGAAACCTCCCAAAACATCCAACCATGTTGTTATAATATCCATTCAAAACAAAATCTCTCTACACCTAAAAAGTATTTGCAGCCCAAAACTAAGAAGGAGTCTTAATAAAAGCAATCCAAGAAAAATCCCACAACTCAATCTTAAAAAAATACCAACTCTAAGAGTCAAGAATAAAATTTAGAATTCAGGCTCTCATACCATGTTAAAATGGTATGAATTTCTCTTAAATAAGAATCTTTTCTTTTTAAATAATCAAGTATTAACATAATTACATCTTATAAATACTTATAGAACATAATTACAATCTCTCAAAAAGGTTAACTATATAAAACTAATTGTTTATCAATCAATCTCTTTATATCAACCTTTCTAATTCAAATAATTGCATATTAATCAATCTTTCCAAGTCAAAATATTATAAATAACATCTATAATTGTTTAATTGAAGTCATTCATACTGTGATAATAAGATTGATATATTTATGGAAATTTTAATTTTTTTATAATCTCTTTTTATAGTAGAATCAAAATGATAACAATTTTTTTTTTCAAATAAAGGATATGTATTTACCATTTAAGCCAAGATATTTAAGGGTTTAATTTTAATTTTTTGATGGTAATTTTTCCTTTTGAACTAATAAAGTTCAAGTACAAACATATAAACATATAGAGATTTGTATCATTAATTTAATTAATTATTTACTTAAACTATTATATTTTGGATGAATGTTGTCTCATTTCCATTTAATTTGATCATTAAGGTTATGTTTGACATTATCGTGTGGTGAGGTGTAGTTGGAAATGCTTTTAAACTAACCATAACTTTCAAATTGTTTGGTTTTGCTTTGTCAACCTTCTTCTCATCAAATTATGAAAAAAAAACTTGGGTATAAGAAAAGCTATAATTTATAGCTTTTCTGAAACCTTGTTTTTTTTCTAACTGTTTAGTACTTAAAAGTGCATTTTTATCAAGGTTTTATATCATCATTTTGCACTTGAAGTATCAATAACTCCTTAACTAAAGCATGTTTTATAATAACATATCTAATAATATAAAATACCTTTAATTTGTGGTAAATGTTCATTTTAAATGCAGGTCTATCACATAAATGAAAGTATTAATTGATGAATTTAAAAACTGAAATTGAAAGGACAAAGAGATGGTCAAACTTAGAAAAGAGATGTCGGTGCAGTCTAAACCGGAACATTGTTCGGTAATTGGATCATATTTGGAGCTATAGATCTTGAATTTAGGTCTACTTTATATGGATAGAAAGGTAAGACATAAACCTACAACTTTCATATGGAGCTCAAATTTAAAAAGACCATTTTCGAGTTCAAATTACAACAACAACAAAGAAGTCTGAATCTGTCCTCCAGCCCGAGCACTGTTCAGTGTTTAGCTCATATCTAGAGTTCTAGAATTCCAAATGACCTCAATTTTTTACCCTAGAAAGATGAGACAATAGTTGTTCAAATTACAACAACAACAAAGAAGTCTGAATCTGTCCTCCAGCCCGAGCACTGTTCAGTGTTTAGCTCATATCTAGAGTTCTAGAATTCCAAATGACCTCAATTTTTTACCCTAGAAAGATGAGACAATTTCCTACAACTTTCATGTTTTCAAGTAGTTCCAAGTTTGATGTTATCAATAATGTTTTGGGTAGATAAGAGAGGATAAGGATTGTCATGAAGTCAAGAGGTGGCCACCCACTCATTAATTAGTCATCAAATCAATAGTTCCTAATTTTGGCCTATAAAAATAGGCATTTTCCATGCATTTAGGCATCTTGGTTTTCATATCAAGATCATACTCTTGCTTTCTCTCTTTGTATTGTTTGTAATGTTTATGTTTTGCTTTCATTAATATCAAGTCTATACCTTTCATTTCCTTTCATTTACTTAGCTAATTTTTATCTTATTTATGTTCTTATTTTGTTTATTTATTTTTCTTTCTTTCATTATGTTTAGTTAAGTTTATTATATCAAGGTGAAAAGGTTACACTAATGGTGTAAGAATAAGTATAGTGTAAACTTAATATGGACTTTAATGTTTGATACTAAAATATTTTGTCTTTGTTATCTTGTTCACTCTTTAATACTTTGCTTGTTAAATGACTAATCTAGATTTATGTTGTATAACACTTGGTACAACAAATACTTGGCACTCTCATAGCCCATACTGTATGGTATAACCGACACCTGAGCTATGAAAGGAACTTGATTTGTTGTTAACATAAGTTATAATAATGAATGCCTAACAAGATTTATAGGTATTAGCATTAATCGAATAAGATAACTAATGTGATCATGTTAACAATTTATAATCTAATTGGAACCTCCTTTGTGTGTGGTTTCCAATTGAATAATAAAAGTTTATACTATACTTGTTTGACATATCATTAGTGGAAACTCTAACTGACACGACTAAAAGGTTGATGTCTTCTCCCAAGTGCAGGAGTGTCGAAGTAATAAATAACCCGGCAAGACCGGGGTCGAACCACAGGGAGGTTATTTGTACAAATTATAAATAACAATAACACAACAACAATAACAATAACAATAACAATAACAACAATAATAATAATAACAATAACAATAATAATAATAATAATAATAATAATAATAATAATAATAATAATACTAGTAGTAGTAGTAGTAATACTAATAATAATAGTAATATAATAATAATAATAATAATAATAATAAAGAAAAAGAAGAAGAAGAAGATGATGAGAACTTGGAGATGGAAAATTAATGTAAGGATTAAACAATAATAATAACAAATGTCAAGGTTAGAGATTCCACTAATGGTATATCAAACAAGTATAGTATAAACTCTTTTTATTGAAATGGAAACCACACACAAAGGAGGTTCCAATCCGATTATATATTGTTAACATGATTACATTAGTCATCTTATTCAATTAATGCTAATACTTGTAAATCTCGTCAAGTATTCATGATTATAACTTATGTTAACAACAAATCAAGTTCCTTTCATAGCTCAGGTGTCGGTTATACCATACATTATGGGCTATGAAAGTGCCAAGCATTTGTTGTACCAAATGTTATACAACATAAATCAAGATTAATCATTTAACAAGCAAAGTATTAAAGAGTGAACAAGATAACAAATACAAAACATGTTAGTATCAAACATTAAAGTCCATATTAAGTTTACATTATACTTATTCTTACACCATTAGTGTAACCTTTTCACCTTGACATAACTAACTTAGCTAGACATAATGAAAGAAAGCAAAATAGATAAACAAAATAAGAACATAAAAGTTAACTAAGTAAAGGAAAGGAAATGAAAGGCATAAACTTAATATTAATGAAAGCAAAGCATAAAAAATACAAAGAGAGAAAGGAAGAGAAGGAAGAGCATGATCTTGATCTGGAAACCAAGATGCCTAAATGCATGGCAAATGCCTCCTTTTATAGGCCAAAATTGGGAACTATTGATTTGATGACTAATTGATAAGTGGGTGGCCAACTTTTGACTTGGTGACAATCCTTATCTTCTCTTGTCTGCCCAAAACGTCATTGATAACGTCCAAATTGGAGCCAGTTGTAAACATGAAAGTTGTAGGCAATTGTCTCAGCTTTCTTGTGTAAACAATTCAGCTCATTTGGACTTCTAGAACTCCAGATATGGCCAAAATACCGAACAGTGCTCGGGCTGGAAGACAGATTCGGGTTTCTTTGTTGTTGCTACAATTTGGACTTGATAATGGCCTTTTTAGATCTTGGGCTCCATATAAAAGTTGTAGGTCTATGTCTTACCTTTCCATCCATATAAATTGGACCTAAATATGAGATCTGTAGCTCTAGATATGGCCCAATTACCGAACAGTGTTCCGGTTTGGATTGCACCGACATCTCTTCTCTAAGTTTGACCATCTCTTTATCCATGCAATTTAAGTTCTTCAAGTCATCAA